GCGCCGCCGCCGCTGCCGCCGCCGCCGCCGCCTCGGCGCGCAAGGCCCGCGGGGTCCTGTCCCTGCGCCCTTGGGTGGCTGGTGTGCTTCCCATCCGTCCTGTGGTCTGGGCCCGTCGTTTCTTCTGCGCTTTTCCGCGCGCCTCCTTGGCCCCAAAGCGAAGGCCCAGGGCTTGATAACCACAACGAACATAGCAAGACAAGGGAAGGGGAGGAAGCAAGAGGACAGAAGAGGAAACAAAAGAGACCGGAAGGGAGGGACAAGAAGATGGAACGGACAGCAGAGGGGCATTTGCATTCGCTTCTCCCCAGCGCTTCCGTCTCTCGCAAGCCAGGCGCACACTCCGAACCCAGCTCCCGGTCCCGCCTCCCGAAGCCGCCCTCCGGGCATGCCCGACTCCCGCGCCGTTCTTCCCTTATTGCCGTCACCTTTGCGTTGCCTGTTCCATGCCGTTGCTCTGATTTTGCTCTGCTGCTGTTGTGTGCCTGGTATGGAGCTTTTTGTTGCAGTTTCAGCCGGGGGCGGGGTCACACGTGCCTATTCGCCCATTTCGGCACACCGCTTACACAGGTAGTGCCCCAGAGGGAGCTCCATTTACGGCCCCAGTGGGGATCGCATGCGTCGCCTCCCCCATTTCGGAACACCCTTCTCACCATCATGGAGCACACAGGAAGGTCCACCTACGGCACCAGTTGGCGCGTCCAAATTATCCTACCCGCCAGCTTCGGAACAGCACAGAGAGGCCAGCCTACGGTACCAGCAGGAACGTTCCTGTACCGTCCTTGGCTCAGTTCTCCCAGGCTCAATTGTGAATGTTCTGAGATTTCGGGAGTCCCGCAATGTGACCCCCGGCGGCGATGAAAAGAGAGACCTATCAAGAGGAAGAGAGAGAGGGAGAGAGCGGGCGAGCGAGCGAGCGAGAGAGAGAGAGAGATACAGACCTATGTGCATGCATTTACACATGCATGTATCTACATGTATACCTGTAGATACACGTGTATATATACATATACCGATACGACCACCCTGCGGGTGATAAGGAGGTTGGGGGGGGGGAGGGGCCCAGCAATGGGCAACAGTGGTGAATGTTGTTGTGACAATGCCAGTGGAGATAGTTGTGTTGCCGCTCGCTCTTGGGAGCGTTGGTGTCAAGTTGTTTACGTCACTTTTCGCTCTTTGGCGCTTTGGTACCATTCGGCCCTCCCCCTGGGAACCTGCCCAACTTGCGCAACGGCAGCTAACAGCGCCATTTGGCCACAGAAGACTGAAGCGCTGGCAAAGCTTGGCGCAGCCCGCGCCCCCTCTTGCACGATCGATCTCACTATCGATCTTTTTATCGGTTTCACTCATCGATCTCACTCGATCAATCTCACCATCGATCTCACAATCGATATCATCATCGATCTCTCTCGGCAAGTCTCACTATTCCACACACTATCCCACACATCCGAACTGCAATTGAGTGATAAGGACATGAGGGAGGGGGGGAGGGACCAACGTCGCACTCGATCGATCTCACTATCGATTTCACTATCGATATCACAACCGATCCCACCATCGATCTCACATTCGGTCTCCTTTTCGATCTAACCAACGACCGACGAAGACGACGACGAGGACGCGAAAACAGCGACGGAGCTCCAGGCAATTTTCACTCGGCAGCCCGGTCCAGCAACGACCGAGGATCGACGACCGAGGATCGACGAACATGGCCCCCAAGACCCTCGGAGGATGAGGAAGCTAAGATGGGGGGGAGGAGGGAAAAACAGAGGTCCAGAACCGAGGGGTGTGTGGTGGAGGAGAACCTGAGAGAAGACCTCATTCGCTGTCTCATTCGGTCTCACTACCGATTTCACAATCGATATCACTATCCACGTCGTCATCATCATCATCGACATCAACATCAACATCATCATCATCATGATCATCGTATCCATCATGATCATCAGCATCACCATCATTATCATCATCCTCGTCGTCATCATAATCACAAACCTCAACGCCATGAAGGCCATCATCACCATCAGCATCGCACAATCGTCTCACATTCGGTCTCACCACCGATATCACAATCGATATCGCAATCGACGTCATCATCATCATCATCATCATCGCCATCATCAACATCATCATTATCATCACCATCATCACCGTCAGTACCATCATCATCAGAATCATCATCATAATCATCATCAACATCATCATCGGGACACTGACGGGACACGGACGGGACACCGGCGGAACACCGACGGGACACCGCGCCGCCCCGGCCGCCCGGAAGGGAATCATTTCGTCCGGCCGCGCCTCAGCCACACGGGACACCAGCGGGACACCGGCGGGACACCGCGGGCCACCGGCCGCCCGGAAGGGAGTCAATTGGTCCGGCCGCGCCTCAGCCACACGGGACACCAGCGGGACACCGGCGGGACACCGCGGGCCACCGGCCGCCCGGAAGGGGGTCATTTGGTTCGGCCGCGCCTCAGCCACAGGAGACTTTCTCTCGCCCGCCCACGCAGCTTCGCCTCGCCCGCACGGCACGCACGAACACGAAACCGAAATCGATTTCCCAGTAGGGGGGCTCCCCGTTCCACTTCGATCTCACCCCCCAACCTCCGACATATACATTTATATGTATATATTTATATGTGTGTGTACATGTATATGCATGCGTTTATGTATGTCGGCATTATATATATATATATATATATATATATATATATATATAATATATACATATACATATATGGGAGATCCCGGGCCCCGGGCCCCGGGCCGGAACCCCCCTTGTATATAGGGTGCGGCCCTCTCCCGGGGCGCCCTTCCGACGGCCCCCGCGCGTTCCAGCCCGCCCAAGAGGGCTCCAGGAGCGCCGAGAGAACCCCAGGATCGCTTCAAGACCGCCACAGATCGCTTCCAAAAGGGTCAAGAGGCGCTCAAACCGCCCCAAGAGGCCTTCAAGAGGCCCCCCACGAGCGCCCCGGGATACCAAAATAGCCCCACTCCATACGTAAAACGTACGTTTTTACGACATCAGCTCCCTTAGCTGTCGGAGCGGCCAGAAAGCCCCACGAGGCGCCCAAGGACGCTCCAGGACGACTGAGGACAGCCCCAAGACGGCCCATGAGGGCCTCCCGGGACGCTCCTCCGGCGGCCCCCGGGCTGCCCAGTCCGCCCAAGAAGGCTCCAAGAGCGCCGAGAGAACCCCAGGATCGCTTCAAGACCGCAAGAGATCGCTTCCAGAAGGGACAAGAGGCCATCAAACCGCCCCAAGAGGCCTCCAAGAGGCCCCCCAAGAGCGCCCCGGGAGACCAAAATGGCCCCATTCCCTTCGTAAAACGTACATTTTTAGGATATCAGCTCCCTTGGCTGTCGGAGCGGTCCGAAAGCCCCACGAGGCGCCCTAGGATAGCCCGAAGACAGCCCAGGAAGGCCTCCCGGGACGCTCCTCGGGCGGCCCCCGGGCCTCCCAGTCCGCCAAAGAAGGCTCCAAGAGCGCCGAGAGAAGCCCAGGATCGCTTCAAGACCGCCAAAGATCGCTTCCAGAAGGGACAAGAGGCCATCAAACCGCCCCAAGAGGCCTCCAAGAGGCCCCCCAAGAGCGCCCCGGGAAACCAAAATGGCCCCATTCCCTTTTTGTAAAACGTACATTTTTAGGATATCTCATCCTTTGGCTGTCCGAGTTGTCAGACAGCCCCAGGAGGCGCCCAAGGACGCCCCAGGACGCCTGAGGACAGCGCTAAGAGGGCCTAGGAGGGCTTCCTGGGACGCTCCTCGGGCGGCCCCCGGGCCTCCCAGTCCGCCCAAGACGGCCCAAGAGGTTCCCAAGAGGCGCCCAAGACGGCCCGAGAGGGCGCCAAGACGGCCAAAGAGGCCCCCAAGACGGCCCGAGAGGGCCCCAAGACAACCCCAAGAAGGCCCCAGGATGCCCCAAGAGGCCCCCAAGAGGCCCCCAAGAGGCTTCCAAGAGGTGCCTAAGAGGCCCCAAAGAGGCCCCAAGAGGCAAGGCGGCAGAGAGTCGGCGAAGGCAGTTTCCATACCATGCCCGGCCCGGCGCATTGGAGGGGGATGGGGAGGACGAGGAGGGGGAGGGGAGGGACGGGGATGAGGAGGAGAAGGAGGAGAAGGAGGAGGAGGAGGGGGAGGAGGAGGAGGAGGAGGGGGAGAAGGAGGAGAAGGAGGAGGAGAGGAGGAGGAGGAGGAGGAGGAGGAGGAGGAGGAGGAGTGGGAGGAGGAGGGCGATGAGGAGGAGGAGGAGGAGGAGGAGGAGGAGGAGGAGGAGTTTGAGCAAGTGGAAGAAGGAAGGATTCAGAAGGAAGGAGGAAACGGTGGAGCGGGGATGAGCCTCTTCATTTGAGATGTTGAGGCGTTCGGGTTCGATTTCTGGGCTCGGGTCTTCGGTCTCAAGGTTCGGGTCTAAGGGTGAGGGTGTCATGGAAAGATTGTTCGGGTTTGAGTGCTCTCGTGGATCTTCTTGGGAGCCTCATGGGCCCTCTTGGGGCCATTTTGGGCCGTCTTGAGGCCGTCTTGGGCTGTCTTGGGGCCATCGTCGGCCATCTTGAGGCCCTCTTGGAGTCCCAAGAGGCCCAAGAGGCCGAAATTGTTGATTTTCCATAGGTCTTTCTATGTTTTGAGGCCCAGAATGAGGCCCTCCAGATTTGGTCCGACGATGTGGCGCGGCTCCAAGGGGGGGGGGGGCATAATATTGCAGAACAATACAATATGTAGCATATGTAACAAGTATGCAATCGTTGGATACACTGGACACGTTGCATTAAAGCATCCGCGGACCTGCCTCTGGCAACACGTCATTTTCGGACGTAGATTTCCCGCGAATCGCCACGGAATCGGACCCGTGCTTGCGAACACCGTTTTCGGAGCAAACTAGAACCTAAGCGCGCGCGAAGCGCGCGCGTGGTTCTAGTATATATATATATATATATAGCCAAAACATGTCGGCCCAGTCGTCGTCCTTCTCTCTCATCCTCCCCATCTTCGCTCCT